GCACCTATGTTGAAAGTCAGTTGACCATAGATGGATGGTCAACTTTTGTTTTGTTTCACTTATCTATATGCCTGTCCTCATGCCAGTCGTACACTTTCTTGTTTACTGTGGCTTTTTATTAAGTTTTGAAATCAGAAAGTGTAAATCCTCCAAATTTTTTCTTCTTTTTCAATATTGCTTGGCTATTCTGGGGCCTTTGCATTTCTATATAAATTTTAGGATCAGCTTGTCAATTTCTGCAAGCTGGAATTTTGTTAGGGGTTACATTGAATCCATAGATCAATTTGGGAGGTATTGCCATATTAACAATATTACATCTTCCAATCAATGAACATGGGATGTCTTTTTATTTATTTAGATTTTCTTTAATTTTTTTCAACAGTGTTATGAAGTTCTCACTGTATACATCTTGCACATCTTTTGTTAAACTTACCATCTAAGTATTCTTTTTGGTGCTATCATAATTGGAATTGTTTTCTTAATTTCATTTTTGGAATGCTCATTGTTAATAGAAATGTAATTGATTTTTGTATATTTATCTTTTATCTTGAAACTCACAGGGCTCATTTATTAGTTCTAGTAGTTCTTTAGTAGATTCCTTAGAATTTTCTATACAAAATCATGTCATCCTCAAATAGAGAGTTTTACTCTCTTCTATCCAATCTGTATGCATTTTTATTTCTTATTCTTGGGTAGTTGCAATGGCTGGAACCTCCAGTACAATGTTAAATAGAAGTAGTGAGAGCAGACATTCTCATCTTGTTTCCATAAAGCATTCAGTCTTTCAACAATAGGTATGATGTTAGCTATTGGGTTTTTTCCCAGACGTTCTTTCTCAAATTGAGAAAGTTCCCTTCTAGTTTGTTGGCCATTTTTGTCATGAAAGGGTATTGGATTTTGTCAAATTATTTTGCTTTGTGTACTAAGATGATTGTACTTATTTTTATTTTTATTCTATTAACATGGTATTTTGCATTGATTAATCTTTTTATGCTAAGCCAAACTTTCATTCCTAGGAAAAATCTCATTTGGTCATGGTGTATACAATTTATATGTTTCTGGATTCAGTTTGCCAGTATTTTGTTGAAGATTTTCAGTTTGCTAGTATTTTGCTGAAGACTTTTTTTTTTTCTTATATATTTATAAGGGACACTGATCTCTAGTTTTCTTTTCTTGGGATGTCTTTTTCTGTTTTTGTTTGTTTGTTTTGTTTTTTGTTTTTTAATCAGAGTACTATCAGTCTCGTTGAGAAGTAGTCCTTCTTCTTTCATTTTTTTTGAAAGACTTTGTGAAGCATTGGTATTTGTTTTTCATGAAATAGTTGGTAGATTTCACCAGTGAAGCCATCTAGGACTAAACTTTTCTTTGTGGAAAAATTTTAAACTACTAATTTGGTCTCTATTTATTATAGGCCTAATTCAGATTTTCTATTAATTCTTGAGTCAGTTTAATGATTTGTATTTGTCTGGGAATTTGCCCATTTCATCTAAGTTACTTAAATTCTTGGGATACAGTGATTCATACTATTCCCTTATAATTCTTTTTATTTCTGTAAGATCAGTGCTGATGTCCCCTCTTTAATTCCTTATTTTAGTAATTTGAGTCTCCTCTCTTTTTTTTCCCCTTGTCAGTCTACTTAAAGTTTTGTCAATTTAGTTTTTCTTTTCAAATAAACCAAGTTTTGGTTTTGTTTATTTTCTCTATTGTTTTCTATTCTCTACCTCATTTTTTCTCCCTTCTCTAACCTTTATTATTTTCTTTCTGCTTATTTTGGGTTTGGTTTGCTTTTCTGTATCTAGTTACTTAAAGTGGAATGCTATTTTTTTATTTGAGATTTTTCTTCTTTTTTAATATAGGTGTTTACAACTATAACATTTCCTCTGATCACTGCTTTAGCTGCATCCCATGTTTTGACATGTTGTGTTTTAATTTTCATTCATCTCAACACACTTTTTAATTTCCATTGTGATTTATTTTTTGACCCATTGGTTATTTAGTAGTGTGTTGTTTAATTTCACATATTTGTGAATTTCCCAAAGTTACTTTTATTGATTTGTAATTCTATTTTGGTTAGAAAACATACTTTACATGGTTTTATTCCTTTTAAGTTTATTGAAACTTGTTTTATAGCATCACATGGGTAATGTCTCATGGTTGACTATAATCCCAGGAGGGCTGTTTGCTATCCCTTTTTCTCTATATCAAGTAGCTGTCTGCTCTGCCATTCTGCTTGTATTAGAGCTTCGTGCCTTCCGTTCACTGTTTTTCAAGATTTCTATTTTTTTTTTTATAATGCTCCTAGGCATGAGGTTTTCTGGTTTCTGTTCCAAATGAAGTCAGTCCCCTCAGGTGGAAAGGTGGAGCTCGTTTTCCTTATGGCATGCCTTTCCCCTGACGTAGAACCCCTGAAGCTGGGGCGGGGCCAACTTTTCCCAGAGTGGCACTCCAAATATGTATCTTAAGTGTTACCTTCAAACTCATCCTTCCAAATTTTCCTGCTTATGTTCAGAAGAAAAACTGAATTTAGGTCACTTTCTTTCTCTCTCACAGTAAAATGGCCAAATGACATGAACAACAATGGAAGAAGCAGGAGTTGTGAATAACTTGTACAATTGATCTTAAATTTTAAATCATTGCCTTTATTATCTGGTTAAAATATATAAGGTGAATAGTGGGTCGTACAACTGAAGCTCTTGATCATAGGATGTTCTATTTTTCATTTCTTAGCAGTCAATCAACTTTAAAACATGAAGGAAAAATCCAGAAAGTTATCATAAAGCATTCCTTGGAGAGAGTATCAAAACATGAATTAAAAGTAACAAGCCCCCTTCACTGAGCTCAGGTACTGTACTTGGTACTTTACTGCATTGTCTCATTCATATCTAACCACAACCCAATGAGGAAGAAGCCTTTAGTCTCCATTTTGTGAAGAGGAAACTGTGGCCTAGACAAGGTAATGGAGCCTTATCTCAGGTTACACAGCTTCTGGAAACAGGATGGACATTTTAAATGATGAAATTAATTTTTTTTTAAAGATTTTATTGGAGAATTGGAGAAGGGGAACAGTATTGGGGAATTAGGGAAGGGGAACAACCAAGTTATTGTCCTTCAATCTTAGTGTGGAGGGTGCAGCCCACTAGCCCATGTGGGAGTCAAACTGGCAACCTTGTTTCTATGAGTGCATTCTCTAACCACTGAGCTATCGGCCGCCTATGGGCAGCTTGCAGCAGCTCAGCTCAAGGTGCCGAGTTCAATCTTAGTTGTGGGGATGTAGCCCACCATCCTATGCGGGAGTCAAACTGTCAACCTTGTTGTTAGGAGCACGTGCTGTAACCACTGAGCCATCCAGGTGGCAGCTCAGCTCAAGGTGCTGAGTTCAGTCTTAGTTGCAGGCAGGCATAGCCACCATTTAACAGGCAGTCTTGTTATTAGGAGCAAGTGCTCTCACCAGCTGAGCCATCCTGCCACCTGTTGGCAGCTCAGCGGCAGCTCAGATCGGATACAGTGTCAGATGCAGTGGGAATTGAACTGGCGGCTCTGTTGCTCAGAGCTCATGCTCCTAATCAACTGAGCCTCTTGGCCAGCCCTAAAACTATTTTGTAAATTACTCAAGTAATATATATTCTTTGTAAAAAAAAATCAAATATATAGGATATCAAATCACCAATAACCATATGTTTGTATGTGTGTATATGATTAAACACACACACACACACACACACACACACACACACGAACACACAGAGAGAGGGACAGAGACAGAGATAGATACCAAGATCTGAAAGATACATAGTGAGTTGATAGACTCGGTTAACCATGGAGACAGAAGGTGAGACGGTACCAGGAGTGAAAGTGAGGTCTTTAGCTTTATCTTGAATGTTCTGATTTTTTGCAAGGAACATATTTTCATATATTAGTTGTATAAATTTAAATTACTAATTAAAAAGCCCTTAAAGAATGAGGACAAAAAGCCACATTCCAGATAAAGTTTTATCTTCTTTGACTAACCCCTTTTCTGGTGACATATTCACCACGATCTCCACCCAAGAATGTTTCAAAGTTTTCAAAGATAGTGTGTACAAGAATTACTTGATATAGTTAAGGTGATAAAAATAATTGATAATGCAGTATAAAGCAGTATGCCGTGATGGTTAAGTGCACAGACCCCACACCCAGACTGCCTGGGTTAGAATCCCAGCTTCTCCACTGTCTGACCTCTCTATGCCTCAGGTTCCTCATTATAGATTTGGTATAATAGGACCTACCTTGTAGGGTTGTTGTGAGGCCTAAATGAGTTATTATCTGTACAGTACTTAGAACAGTGCTTGGCACAATGTAAGAGCCACATATAGTGATTATTATTATTATCCTAATACCCAGAAAAAACTATGATAAATTTTTGTATCCATCCAGACTTTTTTCTGTATGTATGTATACATATACTTGTACACACATATACATTCATGTGGGTAAATATAGATGTATTTTTTAATTAAAATTGTGTTATACTATTTCTATTTATTATAACCTTCTTTGTACTTAACACTGTATATTATAAATATCTTTCCATGCCATTAAATGACATAATGAATGTTTAAAACAAAAATCAGATGTATTTGGTCATAATTAGTTATGATAGCATAGATCCTTTTGACCAAATATATGAATGAACATATGAAAAGATAGAAATTTCTTGGTAGTCTAGTGAGAGTCTGGAGTATTTATAGATTTTGATGTAGTTTACTTAAATGCTTGAATGTGCATTGATATATCCTACCTAAGTATATCATTTTTTATCTTATTTGTTAAGCAAATGATAGTCAACATTTAAAAATGTTTATCTGAAGAACCAGTACACCAGATAGAATGCTATTTTTAAAGTGTCACTGGGGGAAAGACACTTGGACTGTAGTTCTTTGTAAGAAGAAAAATGATCTGTAAAAAAATATATTGCTTATTATGAAAAACATTTCTTCCTGTACCTTTTTCTGCCTTTCTAGGAGATGTTTCACAAAGCAGAAGAATTCTTATCCAAAAGGACAGACAGTGAGATGGATGAGATGGACACGTCCGATACCCAGTGGGGCTGGTTTTACTTGGCAGAATGTGGGAAGTGGCACATGTTTCAGGTACCTCCTTTCCTTGCATATAGCAGACCGGATGTAGATGCGCTTAGCACCGTCTTGCTGATGTATAAAATGAGTAAGAGCAGAACCTGAGAGAAATCAAGCCTTAAGGAAATCAGACAGTTGAACTGAAAGAAAAGCTAGAAATTCTTCTGGTCCTTTTCCTTTTCTTTCCCCCAGGTTTTCCCAGTAATTTATTTAGAAGAAACAGTATGTTTACTGTGTGTACAGAGGGCGATTGTGACTGAGTTGCATGGTATCAGTACATCTGAGCAACTCCAAGTTTGATTTGATGGACAAAGAAAAAGGGAAGAGAACAAGCCCATATTAAACACCTTCTGTACACCAGGTATTCTGTTAGGCTGTACATATCTTTCTCCTTTAACCTCACAGCAACGCTGAAGCCGATGGTATAACAATACTCAGTCTCATAGTCAAAGGAAGTGAAACCCAGAAAATAATGTCATTTGTCCAGTTACACAGCTAGTTAATGGTTAAGCTGAGATTGGAACCTGTATGCAAAAGGGTTTTTTTTTCACTTATAAAGCTACTTAAAGATTTAATTTGAGCCACCTAGGAAGTGTAATTACTGTAATAATTCGTAAACATTTTAATAATTTGGAAAAAGGCATTGTACCCAGTTGTGGATGTTTCTTTGCTGGAAAGCCTTAAACTTTTGAACAAGCTGGCTTAGCTCTGATTCTCCCATGTGTTGGGATGGGAACTAGAGCAGGTGATTAGCAAGTTTCCTTTCTCCCTCCATCCCTGTCCCTGTTACCACAGTACCACCTCTGTGGCCCAGCCATTGATGTGAACAGCTGGTAAATGAAACTTTCTGGTTTGTCTTAAAGCTGGATACCAACATTCAGTGTTCAGTTAGCAGTGAAGATATCGAAAAAAGCTTCAAAACAAACCCTTGTGGCTCCATTTCTTTTACTACTTCCAAATTCAGCTACAAGATAGACTTTGCAGGTATGTTTTTACCCCTAGTAGTTGTGTGTTTTTAGCATATTGATATGGTAAAATCTGCACTTCTGAAGATCAGGGTCAGCTGATACGTTGGTAAACAGTGAAGGAAATCCTTTTTGTAACATGAAAATACCTCTATAAAGATCCAAGATGTAAAAGCTTCTTGAGCAACATGGTCTTTTATAAAGGAGTACTTATATGCTCCTAGATAGTGATGTACTGGAGATTGTCATATATCATGGGTTCATGGAATGCTTCTCTTCAAAGGAACACAAACACTTTCAAACTGCTGTTCTATTCATCACCCCATCAGTCTTGAAATAGATAGGAACCTTTTTATTTTAAGGATCATTCTGAAAGGTGTAGTAACAAAGTCTGAGGTAGTAGGTCATAGTTTTAAGATGGAAGTTCAGATGTGTGCCCCACCTCTTGGTGTGTTTGCCAGGAAACTGTTTCTTTAATGGACACTGCCTTCTGCCATTTTCTGATTTCATTGGCTCTTTCACCGATGAGCCCGCTAATCTGGAAATCAGCGCACGTTGGGTTTCATCCATGATATGTGGGCATGTTTATAGGCATCCCATGAAAAACCTGTTGGATTCAGCCCCTTTACTTTCGAGCTGCTATGGGCACAGCCGTTTGCAGCTTTAGAGGCAAACAAGCCCGGGGTGTGGAAGCATCTAACAAAAGTGCATTTTGGTTGTCTCACAGCTCAGTGCTCTAGCTATTCTTTCCCAGCTTCAGTGAGTAGCATCTTTATGAAAGAGTATGTGTTGTAGTATGGTAGGGTGGTGAAACCTTGGGAAATTTCCTTGGATGAGCCAAGGCCCAGAAATGGTGTAGGCGATTTGTCTAGTAAGAGGTTGGTGCAATCAAATCTCTAGTGATTTTTATCCCCTCAGTTTTTTTTGTGTTTTTTATTATCAAGAGTTAAAACCATTAGTCTTGCTACTGACTAACCATCACTTTTTTTATTAGACAAATAGGCTGTTGGCCCTTGTCTTTCTCATTCATCTAGACCAGTGGTTCTCAACCTATGGGTCGCAACCCCTTTGGGGGTCAAACGACCCTTTCACAGGGGTCGCCTAAGACCATCGGAAAACAAAAAGATATTTACATTACGATTCATAACAGTAGCAAAATTACAGTTATAGAGTAGCAACGAAAATAATTTTATGGTTGGGGGTCACCACAACATGAGGAACTGTATTAAGGGGTCGCAGCATTAGGAAGGTTGAGAACCGCTGGTCTAGACAGAGGTGTGTGGTAGACATTTTAGTCTTGTGTACAAGTGCCAGTTTTGAAGCAATACCGAGACCTAATTATATGCACAGACATCAGATTCCTGTAGAGGGTGGAGTTAGTCAAAGCAGTTGGTAGCTAAGTCAGCAAGCTACATGTTTCTGAAAGAATACTTTCTAGCAAACTGTACTTTTTTGAAGCTTTCTCTCAGACAATGCAGTTTATTAAAAAAATGTTTTTCTAAATCTAAGAATAGGAGTCATGTATGATGATGACTCAAGTTCCCCAGCCTCTATCTAATGGTACTGTTTCAAAGGTATAGATATTAGCATTCCGTACGTACCATTTGCAAAATTAGCCCCAACTATTCTGCACAAGCCAACTCAGATTCTCCCCATAAAAAAGCGTGAGAAGTAAACTCAGAATGTTGTGGTATCAGGAGATGCCATAGGTTTCACTCCATGTGCTGAGCTGATCTTGTTTTTTCCCTGCACGGTAGAAATGGCCGTGTGTGCAGAGTCTAGGAGAATACAGAGGGAAAGTGTACTTTAGACAGCATTCGCCTTGCTGGATGAATCCCTTTATTTTGTAATGGAATAGATACGATGAACTGACTAGACTCTTACATTAAGACTTAGTCCTTAACTTTGTGGGAATGAATAAATGGGCCTGGTAAATATTGCCATGCTAAGGTACAAATGAAAGAAGAAAATGACACCTTTAGTTAATTAGTCCTTTATCACTAGAGTCTCTTATATAAGTATGTATTGAATCTAGCTAGGTTTTCTATTTTTTGGTTTAGGTATACAATTTAAAGAAAAGGCAAGAAATGTACAAAGTTTTGAAATTCTGTGAATTTTGTAAGTTTGATAATGGTAATGTAATTTTTAAATCATTTCCAAAATATTTGGAGAAGTCGAAGTACATTTTCCACTTAAGCCAACCAGAAGATTCAGTACTATAATTTATTTTCTTTCCAGTACTCTTAATTTTCCTAAGTTTAGAGCTCTCCTAGTTTCGTGTCAGTTTAACCTAAGAAAGGAATAACTCTGTATACTGAGCAGTGTGTGAGATTAGCTTTCTGAGGTGTGAGCCTAGATCAGCAATGGGGCTGTGCTCCCTGAAAGCACTTTTATGACACAATAAATAGATACATGGTAAAGTATCCTTAATATACTGTGTTTGCCATCTACTCCCAAAGCTCCGTGATTCCTGGTCATAGTGTAGGGTGGCTACAGATCTCCATGACAATTTATAGCACAGTATGTTTCTATGACTTATCTAATATCTTTGTCTTTGTATACAGAAATGAAGCAAATAAATCTCACCACTGGAAAACAGCGCTTAATAAAAAGAGCCCCCTTTTCTATCAGTGCTTTCAGGTACTGTAAAGAGAGTAGAGGTAGAAAGAGTGGGCCTTTTCTCTCTCCTCTTTCTGAATATTTAACAGGAGAACAAATAGATTGAAAATATTTTGGTTGGTTATTTAATGATCTTAATATTGATCCTTTCATTACTGAATTTCACATTAGTTGATGAAATAGCAATATTATTATTTTCTGCCCATATTTCCTTTCCTGTTATTCTTTTAAATTCTCCTTTTATGTTTATATTTTTCAAGGCTTTAGAACAGTTTGCATGGTAGTTAAAAAATGCCTCCTGGCCTCTATAAATCCTTAAAATCACCTACTGAGGTAAGTTTGAAATAACTTGGAAATACTCTCAAAGAACCTCCCAGTTATTTGGGCCATAAATCCTAAGTAATTACCCATGTTGTCTCCACCTTGACTGATCCCCATTGGGCAAATCCTAGAAGTAATTTCAAATCTGCAGTGACTAAAGGAGAGCTAGGAAGACGGGAACACAATGAGACGACAGCACAGCTGTTCCCTCCCTGGACTGGACTGCAAGGTCCCCTTTCCTGTCTCTGGCTTTCTGTAGCCTGAAAAGACAGGTGGAAATGCCAGAAGAGAGTCAATACTTGGTATTCCAATGAATGGAATTAAAGGGGAAAATCTTACAGTGTGTCTCCTATTTTCTGGACTAATTCCTCAAGCAAGTATTGAAATTCTTGCTGTTCAGAGAATTTAAAATGAAACAAACAAACAAACAAATGTTACCATGTGAATTGTAAGGGATGCTTTTTTGTTCCTTTCAAGGAGATATTTTGAGAGGGTTATAGTAAAGAAAGAAACATTTTTAAGTTTCTATCAGTTTGTTTCGCAAAACTTTTGGCTTATTTTTTAGCATCATGACTTAAAAGTTATTCAAGTGCTTATAGAAGGAATGCTCTAGTACTTCTATGTAATGTAGAGAATAGTATTTTCCATACCATCCACATAATATCCCATTCTTAGTACAAGGAATATAATAAAGGAATCACTTATCTTCAAAGAGTAAGTAGTCTGGGAGAAAATGAGACATAATAATGGAAATTGTTCTTGTAATCGTGTGTTCCATCTGGTATACTTTGGTGGGAGATGAAACACATGAGGCAGTCAAGCACTTTGTTGTCTCACAGACTGTACAAACCATAGAACAAAGACAGGAGAGGGAGAGAACTAGCCGGAATGGAGGATAATAAGCAAGACAGTAAAAGAGGAAGATCAGTTAGGCAGGACACAGAAGAGTTTAGAAGACAAGTAGATGCTGACAGAGACATGTTTATTTATTGAAGGAATATATTGAGCATTAATTATGCAAGGTGAATAGTATGTATTTCCCATTGGCAAGGAATTTACAGTTAATCAAGGCTATGGGCTACCAAAATTTTTTTAAAAACACACAAAAAACTTTTCCACAACTAAAAGTTTTATTTTAAAAAACTCACTAAACTATTGTTACTCATTCTCACAGTCAAAGAGTTCATTCATCTCTGTAGTATATGAAGTGCTTTTTATGAGTCTTTAAGTGGAAGACCAACAACCCATTAGAAAAATGAGCAAAGATTTTGAACAGTTCATATATCTTCACTCATAATAAGAAAAATACAAACTATATCAGACTACTTTTTACTGTCAGATCGACAAAAATTCATAAGTTTAATAACATACGTTTTTGGAGAGGTTGGAAAATAGGCACTCTCTGCACTTCTGGTGGGAATGTCAATGACTACCACCTTCAAGGAGGGCATTTGGGTGGTATCTGTCAAAATCATGAATAAATGTATTCTTTGACCAAGAAATTCCATTTATCCAATCTCAGAAACTCCAAGATATCCAACAAACAGACTAGTGGACATGTACAATGACAAATTGACAAACTAGCTCTTAACAACATTCTTTTTTTTTTTTTTAAGTTTTTTTTTTTT